TTATCATCCAAACTGAAAACACTATTAAGAATGAATGACGTCTGTTAAAAATTACACCACCACAGTGGGCATATAGAGAGCCTGTCCCAGGCAAACTGGGGTTATATTCACCACCCTCATATCTGTTTAGAGTGGTCTCTACTTGCCTCCAGCAGATTGTTGCTGGATCTTCTCTTTTTCCCTGAAAAGGTAAAAATCTGCATTTTTATGTGATATTTCTCAATTTTGGAAACTCTACCCACCCAACAAATCCCAGTCAGTTTGTGACTCCTGGAAAAAGAAGACCAGGAACAGATTCATCCATAGAAGTTTTTCTTGAGATAAGGGAGATATTTCAAATAAATGGGGTGGGGGGGTGAGCTCTTTTAACTTCACATCAAAAGCTAAAATAAATCTCAGATATATAAAAATATATGTGTAACAAAGTTAAAGTACAGTTCTAAAACGGGGGTGTGGTTGTACTGTTACCAGAACCCAGCCACCTCAGCGGTGGGAGCCCGCAGGGGCAGTGGTGTTCTTTCAACCTGCGCCACCACAAGTCAGTTGTGGCAGTTGCTCCTCAGAGCTCAATACCTGCCAGTTTTGTAACGGACCAATCATGTGTGAGCTATGAGCTGATTGGTGCTAAATAGTCCAATCAGACTTGTGGGTGCAAGAAGCTATAAGCCAGGGTCAGAGGGAGCGAAGGGTCCACAAAGAACGAGAGATGACCCCAGCCCCTGCAGGAGAAGGAAGATGGGGAAGGCTGTTCCTGGCTTCCGAAGAAAGAGGAAAAGAAGCATCCAGCAGCTGACCTCTAAGGAGGGAAGAGAAGCTGAAGGACTATGTCACAGACTGGGCCTTGGTCCTGTCTCTCACATCGCCTGAAAGGACACCGAGGCCCTGAGCCTGGTGTCTCAAAGAGCTGTGTGTTGTTGGTATAACCCAACAACTCACGAAGATCTGTTAACACTGGGTGTCCCTGACAGCCCCTCTGAAGGACCAGTAGTGGCCATCACTACTGGCCAGTGCTGCCCAGCACTCCTAGTGACCAGTGGCAACCATCACTGTTGCTACCTGGGTGAGATAGCAGCCACTTGTGGATACAGTGAGCTCTTTGTTTCCTCTGTTTACAAAATAAACCCCATGGTTGTTGTTCCTGGAGCCTGAGGTCTCCTACAATTGTGCGCATGAGTCAGAACCCACAGCCAGTGACCTGTCCTCTTATTGGACACTGTCTTTTGTTTAGCTATAGCCCACAGGCCGCTACTGTGTGGGTGTTGTATTGCTAGAGCCCTTACTTCTGGTTTTTGGCCTTTTGGCCTTTTGGGGCTTTTTGGCAGCTCTCTGGTCTCAGAGTCGGGGCAGGTGGGCGGCCGTTTTGAGCCTTCCATCTGGCCACCTGCCCTGTGACCCTTCTTGTGGCCCTGTCCACTCCTATTTTAACACAACTAAGTTTACAAAAATTCATTGACATGTACTCAAAATGGGTGAAGTTTATATTAAATTACACCTCAGTGAAACTGTTGATAATCAATGATAAAAGTAGTAGAAGTAAATCTATGAGAATACAGTTAAGATTTAGAGGTAGAAAAATTCTTCACAATAAAAAACCCAGAAGTCATGAATAGAATTGACAAATTTGACCTAAACTTTAAAACTTAATACACTATAAAGAAACCAAAAAAGCAAATGATATTTTGGGAGTACTACATAGCCAGAGTTTATGAAGAACTCACTCAGGTGCCCTCCACCTGAAGTTCTGATCCCCAGGAAGTTCTCTGAATGGCTTGCTTTTGTATGTATTCTAACTTTCTATTCAATAAGAGACCTTCATGGCCACTCATACAAAATAGCATTCCTTTTGATCTCCCACTTATTACTGCTGATATTTGTTTGTTTTTATAGCACTATCACCACCTGACATAGTTGTTTATTATGCATCCCTCCCCCTGGCTGAAATATAATTTTGGTCTGTTTTGTTTATTGCTGTATTCATCTCCAGCATCTAGAATAGTATTTGGCACAGTAGGTGATCAAATATTTGTTTATTGGTCTCAATGAATAATAAATAGATGCATGAACTCCTACAAAAATACAAGGAAAAATCAAACAAACCAACAGAAAAAAGTAGAAAGGAACAGGCAATTCACAAAAAGAAAAATAAGTCGCCAGTAAATGTATAAAGAGATGCCTAGACTCAGTTTAACGAATAGTATAATGTTGATGGTGAGAACATAAAATGATATACCCTTCCGGAAAGCAATTTTTTTAGCACTATAATTAAGTCATAAAGAAGTCCAAGCTTTTTTATTCACTAATTACTCCTTTAGGAAGCTCCCCTAGTGATATTATTTGACAAGATGAAGGTTTATTATTTTTTAAAGATTTATTTACACATACAAGAACTGGGGTACAGGCCAGAGGTATGGGGGGTAACAAGATTCACCATAGACAGCATGGGGAACAGAACAGGCAGATTGACTGAAATACACTGCTGAGGGGAGCAGCAGGTGAGTCAGGAGAGGTCTGCTGCGCCATGTAGGTAGCTCCCTGGCCGGGGATCGAACTCGAAGCAATATAACCATAAAACAGGATCACAGTTAACTCTAGTATTTCAGTATGATGGAATATTTGAGTCATTGCATATCATTTAGAAAATAAAATGAAATACTAAGATTTCAAATAAAATTAAACATGCATATTCTTTCATCTGCTTCTGGGAATTTATATTTTAGCAACAACTAAATATGTATAGCAAGATATATTATTAAAATATTCAGTGAGGTATTTATATATCAAAATACTGAAAACAATCTAAATATCCATCAAGAAGTGACTGATTAAATGAACCATGGTTCATCCATACAGTGGAATATGTAATCACCAAAAGGAATCAAATACACACACACACACAGATATGGGATGATGTTCATGATACAGTTAAGTGAAAAAAACTCACAGTAGATCAGTATGTATCATAAAAATTATCTCATATAAATTTATTTATACACTACCTTGAAGATTGTGCATGAAATAGTTAATAGTAATTGCCACTCGAAAATGGAATTAGTTGGGCCTCCCCGGTGGCGCAGCGGTTGAGCGCTGGGTTACGAAGCTGCCTGCAACCTATGAGGTGCTGGTTTGATCCCCGGCTGCTCCCCGGCCACAGGAGGAGGGTCCCGCATGGCGCGCAGACCTCTCCTGCCGCGCCCACTGCTCCCCTCAGCAGTGTACTTCGGTCCTTCTGCCTGCTCTGCTCCCCGCTCTGGCTCTGGTGAATTCCCTCACCCTCCCGCACTTCTGACTGTACCCAGTGCTTGTGTGTATAAACAAACAAACAAACAAATAAATAAATCTTTAAAAAAAAAAAGAAAATGGAATTAGTTGATGGGGAAGAATATGAATTTTCCTTTTACATTATTGTATTATATTTTATTGTGAGTATATATAACTTTAATAGTTTAAAATAAATTTTAATTTCATACAATTGTTACACATATTATTTTTCTATTCAGTTTTACATATATAAAATATATGTAAACACATTGTTAAAAAAAAATAGAGAGCAATTTATAAAAGAATAGGTATGTCATGATCCCATTAATGTATTATTAGACATTCCTGCTCTATGTAGTTACTTGCACAGAATTACCTGAAAGAAACATCACCAAAATTATCAACTGTGGTTATCACAATGTAGACAGATTTCAGGTGATTTTCACTTTATTAATATTTTTCATAATTTTAAACACGGATCATGCATAATCAGAAGAAAAGAAAGGAAAACAAAAGGTGTTTCCAGAGCTGGGCGGACAAAGCTAGGCATTGGTCTGACCACAGCCAGTGGTTCCTGGATAATCTACCACCCCCAGGATTCGCCCAGAGCTCCTCCTGAGGCATATGGTAGAATATACTCTCATCCTTGCCACAACAAGGATGCAGGATTCTGACAAATTTTAAGTTCAAATGGCCCTCCAGGCATCTTTGGGCACTCATCATGCAGAGTGCTAAGTCTCTCCACCTCAGCTTTCACCCAACCACAAATGACACTTTCTAATTCGTAAATTTGTACATTCCTTAATCCAGCCTGGCCGAGGCCTTACACATAGCTGGCTGATAACTGGGTCAAAAATGATCACAGGGCCTTCCCTGGTGGCACAGTGGTTGAGCTCTGGGCTGCGAAGCTGCCTGCAGCCTCTACAGCACCGGTTCGATCCCTGACAGCCAGCAAGGGTCCCACATGGCGAGCAGACCTCTCCTGCTGCCCGCTGCTCCCCTTAGCAGTGTGTTTCATCAGTCTGCCTGTTCTGTTCCCCCGCTCTGGCTCTGGTGAATTCTCTCACCCTCCCTCGCTTCTGACTGTACCCAATGCTTGTATAAATAAATAAATCTTTTTAAAAAATGATCGCATAAAAGTCAGTCCTTAAGGACACTGTGTTTCTAGGAAATGAGGAGACAGGTTTCCAGAAACCTCTGGGTGAAAGCACTCCTTCCATTTATCTCTATTCTGCCGCTGTTTTCCATAGAAATTACATTCAGGTGCCTCACCACCAGAGGGCACAGCACTCCTCCCGTAAGAGGCCAGCTGATGTCAATTTGGATCTGTATTGGAAAATATGAAACTTAAAAAGTGTCAGCATTGGAAAAAATGCTTATAAAGAGTCAGCACTGGAAAAATTGAGGCTTTTAAAGTGGCACCTTTTCCCGCAATAATCCCAAATGGTTTAATTAAATATGCTAGTGTTACTCAGACAGAACATTACTAATTGTAAATGGGCTACCAAACTCAGCTCTGTTGGGCAGATGAATTTTGGGGGGTAATTTTTTTTATCATATTCTAAAATAATATTTTTAATCACAGAGAAATCGTTTTAATCAAAGCAACTAGCATAATTACAGTCAGACCATAGGTAACCATCATCTTCCTGTGTTACTTCTGACAAATCTATTTTTTCACATTACATTACTGTGTTATATTACACTTCTAATATACAAGCTCTCAATGATTTGTTTTAAAAATGTGCATTGTGTGACATCATATATACTACAATCGGAATAATACAGAGAAGATTAGCATGTTCCTTGTGCATGGGTGACATACTAATTCATGAAGTGTTTCATATTAAAAAAGAGTTTGTTGAGCATCATTTTATGTGCCAGGCATTGTTGTAGGTGCTAGGGGTACAGGGATAATTAAAAGAAACAAGCATCCCTGCTCTCATGGAGCTTATATGATTGTGTAAGACCCACTCTTTTTTTTTTTTTTTTTGAGCGCTTATCATTGTAAATGATTAGCCAATAAAGGCCAAGCCTTTATTTACATTATTTTATTTTGCCTCATCTTGGGGAATTTTTTTCAATCTACAATAAAGTTGAAAGAATAATACCATGTACTCTGACAAATGCTTAGAGTTCCAATTGTAAACATTATTTTATCTATCTTTTCCCTCTCATGCTTTCTATCTCTATATACACATATATACAAATATATATACACAAACATTACATTTTTTAATAAACCACTTGAAAGTAAATCACAGATATCATGACAATTATTGTTCTAGTGGTTTCTTTCCTTCCTAGGTAGATTGTATCTGACAGAAGAATAAATCAGATTACTGTTTTTTTCCCTTTTAACACTGGGTTCAAAACACATTCAGTCTTGTTTCCTTGCATTGTATAATTATTCCAATAAAGTAGCAAAGACTCAATTCCCTTTTGAAGTTCCTCTTTGGAAACAATCCCAAGAAAGTCTTTTAAAAGTAAAGAAAAATCTAAATAAAACTACTGCCTCTGCTTACTACAACTCTTTGGTACCTCCTCAGAGTGAAAAATTTGAATTCTCTGGAAGATTCAAGTCTTACACACAACCAAAGTCCTTCTGCACTTGGTGAATTAGTGAATGATTAATTTCATATCTCAATATTAAAAACCCTTTTATGTGGAATAGTTTCAGGTCTACAGAAGTTTACAGACAGTTCTCTCATCAATTTGTTACAACAATGTTGGGAATATCTAGTACCTTACATCTCAAGCTTGGGCTTCAATATCACCTGGAAGGTTTGTTAAAACACATATTGCTGTCCCCACCAGAAAAGTTTCTGATTCAGAAGGTTTAGGGTGGGGCCCAAAAATGTTTGTTTTTTTTTTTTTAAGTTTTTTTTTTAATTTATGCATACAAGAACTGGGGTATAGGCCAGAGGTTCAGGGTGTGAAAGGATCCACCAGAGACAGAGTGGGGAGTAGAACAGGCAGATTAACTGAAATATACTGCTGGGGGAAGCAGCAGGTGAGACAGGAGAGATCTGCTGCGCCATGTGGGTTAGCTCCCTGGCCAGGGATCGAACTCCTGGTACATTGGCCACTGATAGTTTGATAGTGCTGAGACTTAACTCTTGCACTACCAGTGAGGCCCAATCTCCTGATTTTTGCTAAGAGGCTTTCTGTGCATGTTGGGGCACACATTTGGTCAGTCTTTTGACAGCTCTGCCTTATCCATCACTTTTTGCTTGTGAAGCAAGGGTCAACCAGAGATGAGAGCTTAGGGCATTCTCAGCCACAGTAGCTGGTAATAGCTCGATAGCGCTGAGACTTCCACCCCTGAGCCACCAGGGAGGCCCCGAGAATGGTTTTATAACAAGTTCTCTGGTGACACTGATATTGCTGAGCACACAGAGCACATATGAGACACAGTGGCTCCAGCAGCACATAAACTGCAATTTTGTTTGTTGTAGCAGTAACATCATTTGGGACATTTGGATCAACTTAAAATGTTGGGATGGTTTCCCCAAAAACTTTCCAATTTAATTCTTTAAGAATGTTTTTCAAATATGTTAAATAGGCCAACATTGTTACTCAAAAAATAACTTTGAAAATATTTTCTAAATGAGCTTGCTTTTCAGCTAGAAATTCTCATAATCTACTTTGCACTTTCCTTTAAGATAGTCAACTAACTTCAATATGGTAAAATGAGTGGTATGATCAGTTCTAATCCCTGAAAAAGGTGTGGTTGTTGTTTGTTTTGTTTTTTTTTTTAAGAAATTGGCTATTTCGGGGCCTCCCCTAGTGGCTCAAGGGATTAAGCATTATGAAGCAATCTGCAGCCATTGCAGCTCCCCGGCCAGGGAGCTACCCACATGGTGCAGCAGATCTCCTGTCTCGCCTGCTGCTCCCCTCAGCAGTGTATTTCAGTAGATCTGCCTGTTCTGCTCCCCACTCTGTCTCTGGTGGATCCTCTCACCCGCCTTCCTCTGGCCTGCACCCCATCAAACTTGTGCTGCAGAGGCTGCAGATTACTTCACAGTGCTGTGCTTAACCTCTTGTGCCAGCAAGGAGGTCCATAAATAAATCTTTAAAAAAAAAAAAAAGAAATTGGCTATTTTGTTGGTTTCCTTTAATAAAATTAACATCATCCACTGTTGTTTTTTTTTTAAACAGATACATGAATTTCAGTAGGGACTCTGTCGTGCAAAGATTTATAACACATGAAAGAGTACTCCTCATAACATTTTTTGTTACTCCTAACAACTTTTAAATAGTCATGTTTTCAGTTGTCCAGACTAATCTAGATTAATCAAAATGGCACTTGTCAAGTCTGTAAAAAAATTTTTTTTTAAAGATTTATTTATATAAGCACTGGGTATAGCCAGAAGCGCAGGAAGGTGAGAGAATCCACCAGAGCCAGAGCGGGGAGCAGAGCAGGCAGAAGGACCGAAGTACACTGCTGAGGGGAGCAGCGGGCAGCTGGAGAGGTCTGCGCACCATGTGGGACCCTCCTCCAGTGGCTGGGGAGCAGCCGGGGATCGAACCGGTGCTGCAGAGGCTGCAGGCAGCTTCGTAAGCCAGCGCTCAACCGCTGCGCCACCAGGGAGGCCCTGTAAAAATTTTTTTTCCTGCCTTGTAAACAGCAGAACTTTCTTCTCACAGTTCTGGAGGCTCTTAGTCCAAGATCTGACTGTGAGCAAAGTCAGATGAGGGCTTCTTTTGGGTCACAGATTTCTGGTTATGTCCTTATGTAAATACTTTTAATCCAGTTTTGTGGGAAGAGATTAACTAAACATAACAAAACTTTTCTTAAAATGGCCTTAGCACATCTATCAAGCATTAAGTGAAGTGCTGTGCAATTCTCAACTTGTCCTCAAGATGGATCACAAAATCCCTATCAGATTATAACAGCATCATAAACATAGCTCTGCAACAGGATGGAGTCAAGAACAAATCATAATATTGTTAAGACATCTTCTTATCCGTTGGTTAACCATAAAAACTCTCTGCGCCTAATACATGCCAGAAGAATGATTTTTTTCCCCTTGAAAGCCATGTGATTGATTTTCTCTTCTGGCACATAATATGTAACCCAATACAACATTAAGGCTTTCTCATTGACAGTTGCATCAGGACTCAGAAAATTTGTCTATCACATTTAGAATTTTTGAAAAATAGTCAAGGGGCTGACTAATTCAGTATGTCATGTTTCCAAGAATCTTTTCAATTTTGTTGGTTTTAGCTTTTACTTGGAAGAATATCATTACAAAAAATCATTTGTTGGTTTTGCACATTTGATAAAACTGTATTCTAAAAAAGCTGACGTTTTGTTTAATGAGGTATAGTCATTGCTGATTAATGCTGATACTCTCCCCACTATCACTATGCTTCCCATATTTTTCACTTTCTCATTCTTGTTTAAGGGCCACTGAAGGGCAATTTGAACTAAACTAATTCAGTTAGAAGACTACAGTTGTTATGCTCACAGATCTTCCTGATTATGCTCTTTCTGAAAAATTACAGACTCAGCTGAAAGTCATGACATTGCCAAAAATGAATAAAATTCTCCCACACATTAGTTTACAACTAACTTCAAATATGAAATTAAATAATATTCAAATTTCCCATTGTAGGATGATGGTCATATTGACAAGTAATCTACCAGAAAATCAAACTAGATGCCTTTGCACTGAATAAAACAATCTGCTCTCAGCCAGCATGTCTGTGCTTTCATGTCCCCTCTGGGTCTCTCTCCCCCCAGTTAGCCTTGAATTGTACCAATGTCTTTGCTTCCTGCCAAGGATTCACATGATGCCTTCCAATACTTTTTTTTTTCCTAATACTTTCTAATCACTCTATTTCCCTATTTTAAAAGTAAGTTGTGACACATTCAATCTATTTCTGGACCCATTAAAGGGTCAGAAGCCAAGTCTCAAAAACACAGCTCACAAGCATTACATGTTAATAAAGCAAGAAAGTTTGTTTTAAAAATACATAAACAGAATAGCTTATTTCTCTGCATACAGAATGTCTCCCTTGGTAGATTTATTTTTTGAGTATGAATTTAGACCACACTGTGCCTGCAAACTGCTGCTGCTTCATGAGTTGGGGGTAGGGGGTGGAGTATGTTCTTTTTCTTCTTTTTTGCCTTTTTAAATTGAGATATAATTCATACACTATAAAACTCAAAGTAGGGCCTCCCCAGTGGCACAGTGTGTTGGTGCAGCGCTGTGAAGCTGTCTGCAGCCTCTGCAGCACGGGTTCGATTGCCGGCCGGCCAGGAAAATACTCACATGACGCGGTAGACCTCTCCTGTCTCGCCCACTGCTCCCCTCAGCATTGTATTTTGGTCCATCTGCTTGTTCTGCTCCCCGCTCTGTCTCTGGTGAATCCTCTCACCCTCCCATACCTCTGACCGGTACCCCAATTTTTGTATAAAAATAAATAAATCTTTAAAAATTTTAATAAAAAATTAATAAATAATAATAAAACTCAAAGTATACAACTCAGTGGTTTCAGTATATTCAAAAAGTTATGTAATCATTACAATTATTTAATTCTATATTTACATCACCCACCCAAAAAAACACCCAATACCCATTAGAAGTAAGCCATTTCCTGTCCTCCTGGTCCATGGCAACTGCCAATTTACTTTCTGTCTCTATATACCGGTCTATGCTGGATGCTTTATATGAAAGGATTAATAAAATATGTGGGCTTTGTGTCTGGTTTCTTCCACTTAGCATATCTTCTCAAGGTTTATTCATGTTGTAGTATTTATCAGTACTTCATTCCTTTTTGTTCCAATATTCCAATACTTTGTTCCAATATTCCATTATATGGATTTATCAAAAAGTTTATCC